CTCGGTTGACGCGCAGTCAGCGAGGGGTGGCCACGCGGACCCCTCCTTCCTCCCGTCCGTCGCAGCTCGCGTACCCCGCCCCCTTCTATCCAAAGGAGGCCGGTTTGGAGGCAGGCAGGTCGCCCCGACAGAGTGTCTGAATTTCTCCGCGGATAAGGTGCCAACCCAGCGCCTTCCGCCTCCCTCTGGCCCAGAGCGGGCGTTTCCTGCAGATCGCGAGCGCCCTCTGGTGCCCGCCTTGCATCGCAGCACCCCAGAGGCTCGCGGGCTGTTTATCTGTGAGGCCTGGTGGACTTGGGGACACAGCGTCCCATCCCGTGGGTCGGGCTGGGGCAGGAAGTTCTCTGCAGAGTACGCGCCTATGTAGGGCCTCTTGAATAATGAAGACGTAGTCACCACAGGAAGGGAACTCTCGGGGAGGGGATGGATGTGCCAGGGTGCGAGGGTCTGGGCTGGGGGCAAGCAAGGGAAGGTTGCCCAGGCTGAGGCTAGGCCTATTGAGGCCGCGGGAGTCCGGGAGCCGAGGTGTCCAGTGGGTCGACAGAGGACGATCGTTCCATTCTCAGTCAGCCTGGGGCTGGAGATTTGGGGGTTGGGCAGGTGTTGGGTATAAAGCCCTGGCCTGCGCCCGTTTGAAGGGGGAGGCTGAGGCCAGAAGGGGACCCGGCCCTGAGCAGGTGTGTTGTGTACGAAATGGAGGACAATGCGGGGGTAGGGGGTGGTAGTAGGAGCTCTGGTCTGTAGGGGAGGGTATGCACCCCCAGGGCTGTTCATTCAGGGGCGCTGAGCTGGGACCGTCCATTTCCCCATAGTCCTTGAGGCCGAGGCCCAGGGTCAGTGCGAGAGGGTCAGCTCAGGGTCAGGGGCCAAGCCCGGCTGACTGAGGAGTTGGGATGGGGGTGTGTGAAGAAGGGCAGCTGGTGAGGCCAGGTCGCACCCCTCTGTGGTCAGTGCCTTGGGCTGGGACTGGTCTAGGAGCTGTGTGTGGAGTGGCGAGGATCTTGGAGGAATCCTATGTTCAGCTGCCCCATTGACCGTACCATTATTCCCCCCATCACCAAACCAACAAACCCACTGCCACTGAGTCAATCCTGACTCATAGCGACCCTCACTGGGTTTCCGAGGCACTAAGTCTTTTCGGAAGTAACTTGCCCAATTTTCCTTCCATGGAGTGGCTGGTGGGTCTGAACTACCAACCTTCTGGTCAGCAGTCAGATGCCTCAGGCGCTGTGCTACCAGAGCTCCCCCCATCACGGAAGGCCCCAAAGGCTCTGCAGTTTCTGCTGCTCAGAGGCTCTGGCCTTGCAATCCTGGGCCAGGAGCCTCACTAAGGGCCTTGTGGACAGTGAGGGTGTAACTGGGGCTGCAGTTGGCTGTCTCCCATAGTGCCTTGGGCATCTCTTCCCAGCTCAGGGGGCTCCTTTCCTTACTTGGGGTCACCTAGGACCCATGGGCCACTTCTCCTGGGCCCTGCATTTGTCCTCTGAAGATCTCTGTGAGGAGGTGAGAGGCCCCATGGCCTGTCTCTGCTTTGCTCCCAGTGCTGTCCTGCAGAAAGTGTTGGGGTCCCTGTAGCAGGGAGACCCCTCTCTAGGGTCTGGTTTCCTTCCTGGACAGTAGGGAAACACTACTGCCCCTGTGCCACATCCAGACTGAGCTTAGGAGGTTACCCAGGTACTTTGCTGTGAACAGGGTAATTCCAACCCCCATCAGGAACTCTGAGGGTGCTAGGCCACACTCCCTGGGGAGGTCAAAGGTGGACAGTTCATTTGTACAAAGGGGGCCACTGTCCCTCCATGTGATGATAAGGCCGGATGGACAACCGGACAGTTGACCACAGTCCACAATGGGCCGGATGCCCCACACCTGCCCACAAAGGAGGGGGTGGTCCCGCCTCACGTCTGACCGGCAGTCCTGAGATAGATAGCATCAGCCGAGTAGAGGGTCATCCGTCTTGTCCCACAAAGGCCAGGACAAAGGCCATGTCAGCGACAGCCTCCCCGACCCGGTCAGTGGTGGTCAGTGGAGGCCAGGGGTCTTATCAGAGTCCTGCTAGCAGTCCACGGAGAACAGCCTTTATTGTCCACAGGGCAGCCAGAGGGGCTGGAGAGGGACCCTGTGTCAGGCATCTCCAGGCTGACTCCCACAGCGAGGGGATTGTTACCCCTTCATGTGGTCACAGCCCTGTGCTGTGTAGGGCACCCAGGGTGTGCTCTGATGGGCCCGGGTGCACAGCTGCAGGGCAAGAGACAGGACAGTGGAGGTCCAGAGAAGTCCCTTGCTTTGGGGACAAGCGGAGAAGACGTCCCAAGAGAGGTGGTGGCCAGATGGACCAAAGAGTACAGTTAGCAAGCGCCATGGTGACAGCGGAGTGTGGTTGGGGCAGAGGGGACAGCCTGTGCCGGGGCCTGGGCCGCAGGTCAGCATGGCAACTTGGGGAAGGGGAGGCCTTGGTGTGGGGAGCAGGGATAGGGCCCAGCAGGCAGGAGGGGACCAAATGCTCTGGAGGAAGGGACCTGGGGTTTCAGGCTGGGATTAGGCTGTAGGATTTCGGAGGGAGGAAATCTGGGGGAGCCCAGTGGGACCAGGGGTGTGGGGGAAGGCTTGGCTCACACGCAGCACCATTCACACTGACAGGGCCCCTCCTTCCCATGGTTTGATCACCCGGCCCTGCCCTGTCCCCCAGAGGCCCTAGCTTCTCACCGGCACACCTAGGACACTCCACAGCACCCAAGAGGCCCCCATAAGACCATGCCCATTGTCCACAGTCACCCCAACCCCAATGTGTCCCTGATGGCCCTGAACGCTGCCCACAGAACGTGAACACACTCAGGAAATTCCAACCCCCTGAGCATGAGAGTCCTCAGAGTTTTCCCCGCCCCCTCCCCTGCCCCCAGGACCCCCACTCCGAGTGCCCTTGCTCTCCACATCTACACTCTTCTCAGAGCTTTCGCCAAGCCCCGCCCCCAGCCTCCCAGGACGCTCTGAGCCTCCCTCTCCTGGCGGAGCATCTGAGCAGTGTGGGGACCTGATTCCCCACAGACCCACCCCCAGGGGCCTGCACTCCTGAGCCCCTTCTGGTCCGGGGCACCCTGGGAGCTGTGGGCCCGCTGCAGTGCCCCACGCTGTGTCCCTGTGGCCATGGATGCTGCACATAGACTGGAGCCCCCTCCTCATTCCACATGTCCCCTGCCTTTTTTGCTTGCTCCCTCAGAGCACAGAGCACTGGACTTTTCCTCCTGTCTAGGGCCCTGGCATCTTTGTAACACTAGGCCACACTTCGAGCTCCCTCTAGCCTCTTGCTGCCCCCAGACCCCAACTCTACATCCAGAGGCAGAGAGAAGCTACTGCAGCCCTTTGGAAACAGGACGGACGCATGCATGTGGCCCCGGGGCGAGTGAGGCAGGTGCTCTAACCTCTCAGGGCACAGGTGGGAGCTCGGAAGAGGGCACTGTGCCTAGATAGTACAGCCTGCACCCCAGGAAGCACCCACACTCCCCAAGCCCACTGCCCACTCTGGCATCCCTGCATTTGGCCCACCCAGGTGCTCTGGGGAGTGTCCCTGTCCCCTGAGGCCATCCCTGACTCTGGGACCAGCCCCACCCCCCACCCCATCAGCCTCATTTCCCTGTCTTTAGGCTGATGGCCTTCCCTTATGCCCAGGTCACCGGGTTCCCCAAGGGGTCTGTCTGTCTGCTCAGTGTCACACGCATCCCCACATCTCCTCTCAGGCCCTCCCTGAGCACCCCACAGCCGCACAGTCAGGCTTCCATGGAGTGGCTGGTGGGTCTGAACTGGGCGATCAGGATTAGAGGCTCCCTGGCTGCAGCATCCCCACCATCCTGGAC